CCCAGCAGATTTGGTCATAATGACAGAGGACAGAGGTCAATTTTTATTTGACAAATTAATTTGACTTTTTGTTAAATTTTGCCGAAACGCCACTGATAGTCCGGTCAAAATAGACAATTCAAATAACAAAAATTCCGACAGAGCTAAATTTTGGTGGAGACCTTGGGTACACCATTAGAAATAAAGTGTCAAAAGTCTCCATCGATCCCATGTGTGCTAAAAAAGTTCTTCGGGGTCAAAGGTAAAAATTTGAGGTTTTTTGGATTTCTTTCGAAAACGGTAAGTTTTATCAAAAAAAAAGTCCAGACAAAAAAGATAGACCTTAAAATTATCTACAAAAAAGGTCCTTATACTTTTTTTTTAAGAATCACCATTTCTGAGATATTGCGATTTTAAAAGTTGAAGGAGTCACTTTCTACATGATATTATGCACATACAAAGTGAGCCAGAACTCGCGCCTCCAAAAAAAATGCTATGTAGGGTAAGGTACCAGGAACATGGAAAAAATTAAAAAAAAATTCTATCTATAAAAATTTCGAAGTTATGAGAGTTTAAATTTTGCACTTTGCCTTTATTTATTTCTGTTGGAAAAACAATTTTCCAAGTTTTTTTGCTACAAGCTATTAGAAGAGGAATCAAGGAAGCTGTATCCTAAATTGCAACTCTGTTCAATGTTCTTGTGGCTTTCATTGACAAAATTTTTGTATCTTTAATAAATAATTATAAAAAAACATATACAAGATCATCAGTATCATTAAATAGACATAAAAAACTGTCAAATGTCAAAAAATAAATGTCAAAATTATTTGACAGATAGAATTTTTTAAACATTTTTTTCATGTTCCTGGTATCTTATCTTACTTGAAATTTTTCTTCTACTTCATTAAACTGATGAATGAATATCTCGATCTCATTGGAATTAAGAAGAATTTTTTTGGTAAAACATACAGGCTGTTTAAAAAATCGCGCACTTCCTTGAAAGGGAGTAATTGGGTAATCCCCAGAGTACTAAAAAAATATTTAAAAAATTCTATCTGTCAAAAATTTTTGACATATATTTTTTGACATTTGACATTTTTTTATGTCTATTTAATAATACTGATGACCCTGTATATGTTTTTTTTTAATTATTTAGTAAAGGTACAAAAATTTTGTCAATAAAAGCCACAAATAACATTAAACAGAGTTACAGTTTAGGATACAGCTTCCTTGTTTCTGCTTCTAATAGCCAGTAGCAAAAAAACTTGGAAAATTATTCTTCCAACAGAAATAAATAGAGTCAAAGTGCAAAATTTAAACCCTCATAACTTCAAAATTTTTATAGATATTTTTTTTTTAACATTTTTTCCATGTTCCTGGTATCTTACCTTATATGTCATTTTTCTCTGGGACGCGAGTTCTGGCGCACTCTGTATGTGCACATGATGTAGAACGTTACTCTTACAACTCTTAGAATCGCGATATCTCAGGAATGGTAATTCTTAGGAAAAAAGTATAAAGACCGTTTTGTAGCTAATTTTAAGATCTATAATTTTTGTTTGGGCTACTTTTTTGATAAAACTTGCCGTTTCCGAAATAAATTTAAAAACGTCAAATTTTGACCTTTGACCACGGATAACTTTTTTAGCACACATGGGATCGATGGGGACTTTTGACAGTTTATTTCTAATGGTGTACCCAAGGTCTCCACCAAAATTTAGCTCTGTCGCAATTTTCGTTATTTGACCACTATTTTTATGACTAATTTGACCGGACTATGATTTGTATCCAATTTTATTGTTATTATACGTCAGCCGACGTATATAAAAGAAAAATATGAAAACTGACATTCAGTGTCCCAACTCTTCTAATA